TCCTCTCCCTCCGTGTCCCCGTTCTCTGGCGGCCTCCTCTCCCAGCCTGTCCGCTGAGTCACGCCGCCCTCGCCCCCTGGCCTCTAGGAGCAGGTGTGCCCACTCCCACACGCACGCACCTGCGCTCAGGCGCCCCTGGCCAGCACCCGTGCCCCACACCACGCGCCCTCTAGTTAACAAGATCAAGGCCGCAGGTGATAGCCCCTGAGGCTGACGGCGTGAAGGCCTCCCCAGGCCACGTGCCCTCCACTGTCCCGTGGTCCTTGCCGTGTCTCACTCGCATACACTCGGCTCTGCTCTTCGGCGTCGGCCCTGTTCTTATCACCTGGCTTCTCTGTTCCAGGGACCGACCCAAACTTTTGATTATTAGCTCTCAAATAGGCACTGATACCTTGCAGGGAAAGGTTCCCTTCCTCTTCCTCTTTATTCTTAAAATTGTCTTGGCTATTCTGGTTTTTATTATTATTATTATTCCATATACATTTTGGGATGGTCTTGTGACACTGGAGAGAAAAGTCTGCTGTAATTTTTATTAGAAATGACATTTATAGATAAGATCACAGGTCATTGGCCCACTGTATCTGAGTGAGGCCTCTCACCCGCGAACATGGTCTGGTCGTCCTCTCCCTGTATTCTGCCTGGTGCAGGGAGGCTGTCTAGGAAATGTGTCTCCAAGCCCTCCTCATTCTTCAGGCCCAGCTGAATGCTTCCTCTCCCAGGAAGTCCTTGGTGATTGGCCCTGGCCTCCCGGCTCACCTTCTCCTCTGACCCCAATGTGTGCCCATTTCCTGGCTTTGTTTGAGGGAGCCACTTTTGTGCACTCTGTCCCTCTACCTCGCCTGAGGTCCTGAAGAGAAGAAACGGAGTCTCCTTCATCTTTGTATTCCCAGTGGGCTCTGGGGAACGGTGCATAGGAGAGAGAAGTGTGTAGCAATCTCTTCTTCCTCCTCGGAATGTGCTGAGTGGGGGCTGGTGTTTCGGGAGAGAGACCTGGCTCGATATCAGCCCAATCTAGTTAGAGGCGGCCCCGCCCCATAGAGCACTGGCCTCTGAGCATGTTGTGCGGTCTGTAAGCTGGAGACCACGTTACTGATCTCATAGGCCTGCTGTGAGATGATGGAGGGAAGACAGAGGTGGTTTCTCCCTGGCCCCACAGTCCCAGTTTGAGGGAGAGGCAGGAGTGAAGACTCTCCTTTAGCTGGAGGGGCAGCTGTAAGTCATTACAGGCTCATTGACAAGACCCCGCGGGCAGCCTCCCTGAATGTATGAGCCATTGACTCAAATGGATGCAGCTGGCTGTGCCCACCTCCTACGTCCCTCCTGTCAGCCCCCTGACAGCCATGGAAGAGGCTGGCATCCTGCCCCCCTTCCCTGTCCCCCAGACCTCAGGTCCCTGGGCTTTAGCTCCCCCAAGGAGACCTGGGTACCAAGGCTGTCGACCCCAGCAAACACTCCTCTCTCCAGAAGCACGGGCAAGGCCCAGCTGAAGGGGCGTGAGGCCCAGTTGCACACATTGGAAGAGGGACTCTGGGGCCCACAGCGGTGCTTCTTAGCAGAGCACAGGCTTTGGAACTAGACTGGATTCTGGTTCCACACCCCACCAGCTTGACAGCCCGCTGCGATTCAGCTTCCCCACATATGAAGCGGTGCACGAATCCCACCTCCTGGGACAGCTCAGGAGGAAAAGCGTGCAGAAGCATATAGTGGGTCTCAGCGTGAGGTGGCTCCTTCCCCTCCAGGTGATGACAAGGCCATAGGGATGGGAAAAGATGGGGGACACAGGCAGAGATGAGGCAGAATTTATTCTCATTGTGGGGAAGTTGAAGGCTCAGGCTGGAGACCACACAGGCGGATCCCTGGGATCCCAGGGGCACCTCTCGCCAGGGCACAGACCACACTGTGCAAGCGCCAGGCTCGCTGTGCCCGTGACCATGAGGATACAGAGTCCAGGAAGTGGGTGATGGGGGGTGGGGGGTGGGAGGAAGACAGGGTCCTCCCTGATCGTGTCCTGACCATGATTCCAGCTTCCATAGGAAGGAAGAGCAGCTCGGCTATATAGTCATATAATATATCGAGGTGTAGAGAGCTGGCCGCGGCACCTGGGCGGGGCTGAGACCCCCGAATTATTGCAGGAGGGAGAGGGGGCTCAGTGCTGGTGTCTCCGCAGAACAGCTGTGCTGGCTACAGGAAGGGTGGGCAGGGGAGGGGGCCGGGCTTGCCCCTCCCTCGGGGTGGCAGGGCGCACCAGCATCCTGCCTGGGGGGTTCCTTGGGCCCTGCTGCCAAACTTCCCCTGGGATGGGGTTTTCTCACCCTGGGGGCTTTTTATGTGCTTTGAAGACCATTTTTGCATTGTCAGGAGTGAGGAAAAAATATTCTGACATGGTAGAAAAGATATTTACATACCCTGGTGGGCCGTAAGGGGGAGGGCCAGTCTCGGGGGGGGGGGCGGTTTCCCAAGTCCTCTCCTGCCTGCAGTCTGTGTGGGAGGGTGTGGGGCAGGAGCCCTGGGTGGGCCCAGGGGGCCGCGTCTCTGGACGTGGGTGCTGTGTGGCCCTGGACAAGCTACACCCTGTCTAGGCCTTGGTCTCCCCAGCTGGCAGAGAGGGGTGGACTTGGGGCTGAAAAGGTAGCATCTTCTGGTCCCTGATCCTGCGTGGGGTGGGGGCAGGCCAGGGCTGGGCAGTGAGAGGTTGGCAAGGGGACGTCCCGTCGAGGGACCCAGGCCATGGAGGGGCAGCAGAGAGGGGTGTTGGTGGCTCCTGGCCCCTGGCCAGGCAGCCGGGTCCAGCTAAGGGCATCTCATGCCCATACAGAAGGTGGCCAGAAGGCTGGCCGGGAACCCTGTTTTCCTGTTGAAGCAGCGATGGGAGCCAGGTGGAGGCTGCAGGTGGCCCCCACCTGAGAGAGGGAGGGCTCAGACCTGAGATAGAGCCAGGGGTGGGCTCACCCGGGCGGAGATGAGGGGAGCCCGGTGCTGGTGCGGTTCAGACGTGGCCCCTGGCTCCGGCCTCCAGAACTGGGGGCGGTGGCACCAGCTTCTCCTCAGTCCCTGTGGCACTGAGGCCTGGGGCCGCATCCCGGGGCTGTCACGCGCTCCCTGCTCACAGGCTGGAGCCTCCTCCCCCAGCCTCACGCACGAGCACACATCCATGCTGGGCCTGGAGGTGGGGACACACGCGTGACCACACATGCTTCGTGGGCGCCCGTGACCTGGTGAGAACACACCCACAGACACACACACAGGCCTTGAGCCACGCCTCTGTGGGGAGCGCCGGCCCCGAGGGAGGGCAGTCCCTCCGCTCCGGAGGCCATGTTCCGGCGGGGCAGGCACCTGCGGCCCTGGTGTCCTGACCCCCGGCAGCTCCAGGTCCGGCAGTGGAGTCCAGGCCTCCGCTGCACCTGAGAGGAGGGACAGAGGCCGGGAGCCGCCCCAGCCGCCGGCAGCCCTGCCAGTCCCCTGACATCCGGCGGGACCTGGGTGCGGTGGGGTCACAGATGCCGGCGGGGCCCCTGGGTGCTAGTCAGCTGGGCCCTCATGGTCTGGATACTGCCCAGGATCTTCTTCTGGTGGCCCATGAGGGTGATGCCCAGGGCACGCACGTCCCTGTGAAAGAAGAAGGCGCTGAGCAGGCTGGCGTGGGAACAGGGCTGCCCACCAGCTGCGGAGCCTGCCTCTGGCTTCCTGCCCTGTCCTGGGGTCCCCGCCCCCCCCTACTTACTGAGCATTCATTCGCAGCACCATGCCCAGCGAGGAGTAACCACCAGCAGCAAAGTGGTCCCGGTAGCGGCCCATGCGGATGGAGTCCAGCCAGTCCCCCACGGTGAGACCCCCGCCGCTGCCCCCGCCGCCTCGGAGGTCGAAGCAGCTCCGGGCGAAGGCTGGAGGTGGGCACCTAGGCGCAAGGGCCCCAGTGAGTAATCTGCCAGGGCCTCTGCCTTCTTCAGGGACCCTGGCACCGGCCACCTTCAGTCCCCACCCAGGCCTGGAAGGAGAAAGCTGAGGAAGGCCCAGCAGGACAGGACTCAGGGGCCCGGGCAGGGCGAAGGTCGGGCTGGGCGTCAGGGGCCCAGAGAAGGCCAGGTGGGGCCTAGGCTGGGCAGGGGTCAGGCCCGGACCGAGGCCAGGCCGGGTGTGGGGCTGTGCTTGGAGAGCAGCCGAGCTTGGGGGAGCAGCATGGACGTCACGCACCTGCTGACCGTGGCTGTGGCCCTGAGGCTCTCGGGGCTGCGGATGAGAGCGTCCAGGACGCTGACGATGTGGGAAAAGCGAGGCCGCTGGGCACGGTCCTTCTGCCAGCAGTCGAGCATGAGCTGGTGCAGGGCGCGAGGGCAGCCCATGGGCGCGGGCAGGCGGTAGCCCTCCTCCACAGAGCTGATGACCTGGGGGACAGCAGCGCTGGGCTCCAGCCCCCACCAAGGGCCCCGCTCCGCCCTGCCCTCGGGGGGCCTCACTCACGTCCCGGTTGGTCATGTTCCAGTAGGGCCTCTCCCCGTAGGCCAGCACCTCCCACATGACCACACCGAAGCTCCACACGTCGCTGGCCCAGGAGAAGGTGCGGAAGGCGATGGCTTCGGGGGCCGTCCAGCGGATCGGGATCTTCCCTCCCTGGGGTGGGCACAGGAGGGCTCAGGGCGTCTCCCAGCCCGGTCAGGGGCTGAGCCTGGCTGGAAAACTCAAAGTCCAGAGGGGAGACACGGCCTCTGCCCTCGGGGGCAGCTCTGCTGGGGAGACCTGTGCACAGAGCTGGGGGGCGGCACACGGTGGGGGCCTGGCACGCAGTAGGTGCTCCCAGTCCCAGCCGACGGCCGAGCCGGAGCCTGTGAGGAGGCCCCGAGGCCAGGCCCCGGGCCTGCTCTGGGGCCTCCTCCCTGCCCCCCACCTGGTCGCAAACCCCTTTGTCTGAGGGCAACCTCAGACTCGCACTTGCTTGCCCGTCCTTGCCCTCTCTGCCCCGCCGCCATCACCTTTCTCCCTTCTCCTCCCCTAGCCCCAGGGGTCCTGCTGCATTACGGGTACCGGGCTGTCCTCCGACTGGCTTGCCCCCACACAACTCCCTTCCCTTGCTGCACATGCCAGCCAGTCGGCCCTCCCTGGGGCTCAACAGCGCCCACTGTGGCAGGTCACATCTCGATGCAGTGGCCCGCCGAGGGGCATTTAGGTCGCTGCGTGTCCAGGCCCTGCAGTAGATGCTGCCGACACCCCTCGTGGTTTGAGCTCGTGTCTCTTACGAGGAGGACGAGCATTCCTGTGAGACCTGATTTAGGGCCAGGGCAGTGGCCGGGGCAGGAGGTGGGAGCCCCGCCTGCTCAGCCTCCTGCCTGAAGCCCCCCAAGGCACCTCTAGAGAAGCCAGGTCTCCACGCCCGCCATTTTGAAAACCAAACTTCAGAGGCAGATGTGGAGCCAGCGTGTGATCCAGAGACCCCGGCTCTTCCCGGTGGGGACCCCAAGCCACCCTCTCCTAAAGGCAAGGCAGGCTGGGCGGCTCCCGCTTCCCAGAAGGGGAAACTGAGGTGCACAGAGGAGGGAGGACTTGCCCCAGGCCAAAGGCACCCCCAAAATTGAAACTGCCAGCACGTGGGGTGCACCCAGCCCGGCCGGTCAGAAGGGGGCAGGCGACCCACCGTGGTGGTGTAGGCGGCATCAGGGTCGTCCTCCAGCACCCGCGAGAGCCCGAAGTCCGACACCTTGCAGACCAGGTTGCCGTCAACCAGGACGTTGCGGGCGGCCAGGTCGCGGTGGACGTAGCCCAGGTCCGAGAGGTAGCGCATGCCGGCGCCCACCCCCCGCAGCATGCCCACCAGCTGCATGATGGTGAACTGGCCGTCGTGCGTCTGCAGGGGGACGCGCCGGGCTCAGGAGCGTGGCAGTTAGCCGCGCGCTTCCCCACGCCTGGAGCCCGGTCCACGCTCGCGCCTACACCCCAGCCCGGAGAGGCGGCCGCAGCGCCATGCCCCCTCGGTGTGCAGGGGAGGGAGGTTAAGGCCTGTGCCTGAGCGCACCCGGCACAGAAGCGGCAGGCTGGGCGCTGGGAAGCCAGGAGCCCTCCCTGCCTCCCAGCTGGGTGGGGGCCTGGGTCCCCACAAAGGCACCCCCAGCCTGCGGCACACAGCAAGGCCCCACGTCGCAGAGGCCAGACTGGCAGCCTGATTGCTGACCCGTGCCACCCTGCCCCATGCCTGGCTCCCCCTTTCCAGGTCTGTTGGTGGGGCCTCCGGGGTGTCTGGAGACCTGGCGTTACCGCCCCCCACCCACGGCCCCTCCCCTGGGAAAGGCAGGCTGGGACACGCACCCGCAGGAAGGCGTCCAGGGACCCGTTCTCCATGTACTCGGTCACGATCATTGCCAGGCGGCCTGGGGCGGGGCACAGGTTGGAGGCCACGTGAGGGGATCAGGCCAGCTGGTCAGAGGCCCCAGGACCGTGCCCCCCTTCACTGAGCCTCCAGGAGCGGGGCCAGCCCTGAGGGCCAGGTTCCCCTGGGGTCTGGACTCCTCTGACCATCACTGGGACCTAACCAGGGGGCAGGGCCCGGGCAGGGGCAGGTCACAGAGGCCCAGGCAATGGGTCCAGCCTGTCTCGGCCAGGAGGGGCTGTGACAACGAGGCTGCCCTTCCCGGCACCTACCACGGGTGACGACGCCCTCCAGGCGGATGACATTGGGGTGGTCGAACTGGCCCATGATGGACGCCTCGCTCAGGAAGTCCCGTCGCTGCCTCTCCGTGTAGCCGGCTTTGAGGGCCTTGATGGCCACGGGCACGTCCCGCTGTCCTGGCACCCGCAGCCGCCCGTAGCAGACTTCCCCAGACTCTCCTGCGGGGCCCGAGGGGGGCAGGCAGGACGAGAGTGGCGGGACCCTCCGCCCCCACCAGGGGGGCCTGCACGCCCCAGGCTCACACGTCCGTGCACCGCCTGAGCTGGCCACACCAGGCCCCCCATTCCTCCGCTGCCCTGGGGGCCCCTCCCCAGGCGCCCCCTTGGCGGTCCCCACCCACACAACCTCCAAGACTCACCTGAGCCGATGATCTTCTCAATGTGGATCCTGGAGGCTTCGATCTCCCGGGTCACACTGCGGCCAGCCCTGCCCGGCTCCTCGTAAGTGTGGGGCTCTGCGTAGAACTGGGGCTCCGGGATCTTCCCTGGCGGATGGTGCAGCGGCAGGAAGACAGGTGGGGGCGCTGAGGGGCCAGGGCAGAGGGCGCGTCCATTGGGGTCCAGGAGGGCTCTTCCCCCCAGCACTCCCGGGCCCACGGGGTCTGGGGCCCTCCAGCTGTGGCGGCAAACAGCAAGCACCTAGCAAGTGCTTGCCGCGAGCAGGCGCTCTCTGCAACACCCCCCTCTTACTCTGGGGCTCCGCTCCTGTCCGCGGGCACCTTCCTCCTGCCCACGCCAGACCAGCACTGTCCCACCGTGGCCTCCTCTTCGCCCCAGGCCCCAGGGCCCCTGCACTCACCCTGCCCGTTCTGATAGTGCATCTTCTCCTCGTCAGAGTCCTGGAAGGCCTTGCTGTAGCCACAGTGCCTGTGAGGAGAGCAGGCCCGCCTGAGGCTGCACCACTCCAGCCCCCCTGAGCCCCCCTGAGGCTGAATCAGGATCCTCGCCTTCTCCTCTTCCCCTTTCGGGTCATCTCCGCCCACCCAGCCCCTGTCCTTGCCGGGCACCCCACCCGCCCGCGCTCTAAGCCCAGCAGAACGGTGGGATCCTTGACAAAATTTACGTAGTCAAGTCCACTTGGCCTCACAGCAGAGCCTAGGGTGTTAACAGTCCATTCTACGGGAACCATGCCTGCGGCGGCGGTGGGCAGGGGCTTCCGGAACCAACTGTGCTGGGTGACCTCGGCCCCTCCCTCCCTTTCCTGGGCCTCAGAGACGCCCAGCGATGGTCCAGTTCTCGCTGTGTGGGGTCCCAAGTCCACGGTGACTACAGTGCCCACATCCGCCTCCCTCTGGAATGCAGCGGGAGGGACCGAGGCTTGGTCTCCAGTGGACGAACCTGTTCCACATCTACCTGTAGGTGGGCTGACCTCTCCGCAGATCCCCCAGTTACTCACCTGCAAAATGAGGTCAGAACCTCTACATTTAATCTAACAGGATTAAATGAGCTGGAGATGGTCGTGCTGAAGGGGGACCCAGCAGCAAGGCTGGCGGGTGGGTGGGTGTACAGGAGAGACATTCAGAATGATGCCTTGGGTTTGGGGCTTGAATGACCACCTGAACATGGCACCACGTCCTAAGACGGCGGCCTGGGGAGGTGCAGATTTGGGGTGTTGTTTGTGTGACACGTGTCCAAGCAGAGTGGGTGGCTGACCTCAGGGGAGGGGTCTGTGCTGGTGGCCTACATTGGGGATGTCAGTATGAAGGTGAAATTCAAAGCTCTTTGGGCCCTGACGAGGTCATCCAGAAAGATGGACCTGGGGAAACAGGAGAGAGAGGAGAATCTGGGACAAGCCCCAGGGTCTTCCAGGATTACTGGTCATTCAGAGAGGAGGGGCTGGAAAGATGGGGGGCAGGTCAGACAGGAGGACAGAAAATAGGGGTGGGTCAGGGAACAGAAGGCCAGAGACGGTCCCAAGACAGAGGAATGAGCAGGTGCATCTCTGAGTATAGGCACTAGGGACCCCTGGTCCCGAGGGGCTGGGGCAGGTGGGACACACAGGACTCAGGAGCGGTTGGCTGAGAGCCGGGACCACCCACCTCTTCTTGCAGATGAGCAGGAGCAGAAGCACCACCAGGCCGGTGATGAGGGTCAGGCAGATCCAGACGATGGTCCGGGTGTCATAGCGGGGTCCTGCCGGCAGGGGGCAGCATTTCAACCTTCGCGCAAGTCCCTGGACCGGGTGGTGGCCCTGGGCTGGTGGGCCCCTCCCCAGCTGGGAGCCAGCCCCGAGTCAGGGCACCAGCCACCTCTTCTGCCTGCATCCTCCCCCTTCCAAAGCTTTGCCTTCAAGACCCTGCGAGTCTGGGCTTCTGGCTTCCCAGCTTGGCACCACCATTTCCAGGGCTGTGTGACTTGGGCACAGTCACTTAACTTTCTGAGTAAAGTTTTCTCATCTGTGCAATGAAGAAAAAATGCCTATCCTGCCTATTTTCTAACAGTAATACAGCTGAACATGCAGGAACTGCAGATTCCAGCCTGGCTAATCTTCCCCTCGTCCCTTCCGGGGAGCTTAGCTTAGCTTCGGCCTCAGAGGATCAGAGAACTCAAGGAACTTACTCAAGGCCACACAGCGAGCGGGAGGGGCAGGGCAGGATTGCTAAGGGGCAGCCTCCCCGTGATCTCAGACATGGTCGGCAGAGAAGACCCCGACTGGCTGGAGGTGGGGGCGGTGGTCCGGGGGCATGAGTCTACTTCAGAATCGGACATGATCAGGCCACATCACTAGGCCCAACGCTGAATTTCTGGTTCTGGCCCGAGAGCCAGCATTTCTGATAGCTCCCGGGGTGGCTGCTGCTGGGGTGGACTGGACTGCTCTCTGAGGACCACCGTTCTGGCGACCTGGGGCAGACGAGGCCCGGCAGGGGCTGGCCAGGTTCAACCCTGCTCTGCTAGGTGATCTTGAACAACTCACTCGGCTGCTCTGACCCCGTTTTCCTCCCCTGTGGAGTGGAAATGTGGACAATGCTCACTCACTACGGGGTCTTCGGATTGACAGAGGGTCATCTCACTGGCCAAGGGCACTGTGATGCCGGCAAGCCGGCGGTGGTGGACGGCCACCCGGCCCGCACTGCTGCCAGCCCAGCACCCGCGGTCACCCCTCAGGCCCCCGCCTGGCCCCCGCCCTCCCCGCTCCCCGCACTCACGGGGTTTCCCGGTCTCCACCTCCATGGCCTGGCTGAAGCGGCCGCAGCCCGCCGAGGTGCGGGCTCGGACCTGGAACACGTAGCGGGTGCCCGGCTTGAGGCCCGAGACAGTGGCCCTGGTGGTGACAGCCTTGAGGGTGGAGTAGCTCTGCATCTCCTTGTCCTGCCCGGGGAGGGTGATGAGCAGAGCCCCGCCAGGCCCCCGCCGCCCCCGCCCAGCCGGCCGTACCTTCTCGTAGTACTTGATCTCGTACTCCAGGATGATGCCGTTGGGCTGCTCCGGTTCCTGCCACAGCAGCGAGACGCTGGTCTGCCCGGCCCGCTCCTGGCGGATGACCACCACCTGGGACGGGGCTGGAGGGAGGCGGCTGGGTCAGCCACTCTGTCACTGACCCGTCACGCTGTCCGCCCCTTCCCGGGTCCCGTCTCAGCACCGAGGCTTGGGTCTGTGCCCCGCGTGGGAAGCTCCTGCCCCGGCCCAGGCGAGCAGCACCTGCTACTCTTCCGACAAAGCCCTGGCCACTGCCCTGGTCGCTGCCCTGGTCAGTCACTGCGGTGGGCTCTGCTCTGGGATGCTGGGGCTGGCTTTCACTCCCTCCTCCTGCATGCTGGTCAGGCCCGTCCCAGGGAGCATGCTGGGCCCATTGGCCCTGAGGCTTGGTCAGCCTGGTCTCTGTCTCCATGTGCCCAGTCCCTGCCCAGGGCCTGGTGTGGAGTCCTCGAGGAAAGATGAGCTGAGCCAGGTTAAGCTCAAGTATTCTCAAGGTCACCACTTCCCCTCCCTCATTCACTGATGGCCTTGCCCATCCCCCCATGTATCCATTCCTTCCCTCCCTCCTGCCTCAGTTTCCCCAGGTGAGTCTCCAAGGTGTCAGAGAGAGGCAACGGCCCTCCCAGGCCTGCAGCCTCCCCCCCACCAGCCTCCTCCTCCTCCAGCTGCTACCTGCTTTCTGCCTGCTGCCACCTCCCGTGACCCACCTGGCCAGCTCTTGCCTCCCACCTAGGTATCCTGTCCCCGGGCTCCCCTGGGCGCTCCCTAGGGGGCAGGTAGGGGCTACACACAGTAGGTGCCTGACACCTAAGCAATCCAGAGTTAAGCTGGGGACGTGGCCCAAGGGAGACCCACCAGGCTGGGGCTGGAGGCTGGGTTCACAGCCCAGCCCGCTCCCGTGGCGGGGATGGGCGGCAGGGTCCCATCCTGAAGGAGAAGCTGGCGGCTACCCCGGAGGTGAGGGTCAGATGGGACACGCCCCCGCGGGGGACACGGTGCCTCTTGAGAAACCAAGTCTCCGAGGCTCCGAGGCAAGAGGTGCTGTTGAGTGGGATGGACACAGCCGGCAAGGAGAGGGAAATGGGCCAGGCTCCTGCGGGGCCTTCAGGGAGGAGGTGCTGGTGGAGGTGGGGTGGGGAGGAGAGACGCAGAGGGAGCAAACCCCACCCAGCTGCTAGGGTTGTCAGCCCCAGGCCCCTGCTAGTTGGGCATCTAATCAATGCCCACCCCAGGACTTCCTGAATACTGGGGTCAGAGCGGGCCCAGGGAGGGTGAGGGTGTCATCCAGGAAGTGCTCCGGCTGGGACTGAGCCAGTGTGAGGGTGAAGGTGGGGCCTTGGGAGGTGACATGGCTTGGATGAGGTCCTGAGGGAAGGGTCCATGCCGGGGCTAGTGTCCTTATAAGGAGAGCAGAGCGCTCTCATGACCCCCAGTTTCCCCTTGGGAACACAGGGAGAAGACAGAAGGAAGAGGGTTCTCACCAGAAGGCAACTGACCAGTCCTTGACGCTCGGCTTCAGGCCTCTAGAACTGTGAGGAGTAACCGCCCCTGGTTTAAGCAACCAGCATGTGCTCTTGTGACACACGGAGACGGGGGAGGCTGAGGGTGGAGGGGTCAGGTTGGAGGGAGACCTGGGGGGCAGCTGGTGGGTGGGTGCAGCATGGAGGGAGTAAAAGGCGACAACTTGGGGTGTGGGGCTTCAGCAGCCCCAAGGATGGTGGTGCTGAGTTCCGAAGGGGGCTTGTGGGAGACACAGGTTGCGGCATGTTGTTTACCTGAGTGGAGACAGGAGTGGGCAGTGGATCTCAGGGCAGGGTCTTGCACAGGTGACAGGATGTGTATGAAGGTGGGATTCAAAGCCAGAGGCCCTGGTGAGGCCACTCAGAGGCCTGACACAGGTACATGGAAAAACGTTCCACGTCATTTTAATAAGGGAGCTGTGGGTCCGAAGCACAATGAGATTCTCTCCCCCCCCACCGTGGGAATGGCCCATGTTGAAAAGACCCCCAGAAATGGGGGTGGACAAAGGGGGACCCTGTTGAGCTGCCAGTGGGGAGGCAGACCGTGCAGCCATTCTGGAACGCACTGAGGATGTACCCTACAACACGGAAACTGGAAGCACCGTTGGACATGGCAATGCCACTGTGGGCATCTCTGAAGGGCATGAGACAGTCAACTCAAAGCCACTCGACGCGTCACACTGTTTATTCAGCATTCTGGACAGGAGCTGGGACAGGAGCTGGGGAGCAGCCACATGGCCACCGACGGAGGACGCGACAGAGGCCGGCTTCACCCACATGGGACACCACTCAGCCACGGACACCACAGAATGTCACCCCTTACGCCACGTGGGAGGCGCTCCAGGGAAGTATGTGTAGGAAAGAACGTCGGAAAGACAAAGCCAAACATTGGATGATAAGCGTCAGGTACAGGAATGACAGTGGATGAACTGACGGAGCAAAGTAACTATAAACTAGTGACGCTCATAAAGGAGATGAGTCTTCTGAGGCGTGGAGGGAAGGGGAGGGGGCACTGAAGAGGTCTAAAGATGGCGGTGGGGGGAGGCCCTCAGAGGTTAAAAGAACAAGTTGCTCACTAAATAATGGCAAACCATGACAGAAACAATAACATGGGCTAAAGGCCTGAACTGACACCTCACCAAAGGAGACATACAGGTGACAGGTATTGAAAAGTGCTCTCTGTCCTATGTCACTAAGGACTGCAGAATAGCCAGAAACCCAAAACCCAGACATCGACACGGCCAAAAAAAAAAAAGGCAAGAAGAGAAGAGAAGGTAGACCTGGGTAGGCAGGCAGGAATGAGGCGGGTTAGAAGGGTCTTCCAGACTGTGGAGGTTGTGCTGGCAAAGATGGAGGACAGGTCTGAGTGATGGACAGAAAGAAAATGGGGGGGCAGGGGGTCACAGAAAGCAAGAGAAGGTTCTAAGGAGGAGGAAAGAAAGGGAGGAAAGGCCCCTCTGCCTGTGGCCACGTGAGGGTGCGGAATTTCTCTGGACAGGTGGGAAATGTCACCTCTCAGTTGCTCTGGAGAGAAGGGAAGCAGAGGTCTGAGCTTTTTAGTTCAGTTTCCTGAATGGCGTCTGGATACCGCTGGGTCCTCTCGCTCCACTCTCTACCCCACCAGCCTCAGCTGCCTTGGAGATAAGTGGGTGGGGGCAGGACCCCTGCCCCTCAGTCTGCTCCCTGCACCATCTACGGCACGCGGTACAGAGCGTGGATTCTGGGTGCTCCACAGATCCTGACTGGGTGAAGTCAGACATCAGGGACAGGTGCCCTGGGCCTGTTTCACGTGGAAGTAAGACAGACCTGGGTTCAAATTCTGGCTCTGCCACTTCCTAGGAGGTGCCCCCCACCCCCCGCCATGGTTCTCTGCACCCTGCTTTCCTCCCCGTGACATGGTGGGAATAGAGTGCTGGGCGAGGCCTGTGTGGTATTGGGAGGAGTCAGGGTGAGGACCCGGGGGGTGAGCCTGCCTCTTGGCAGTCAAGACGCACCAGGATTTGAAAAGAAACAGGTACTGGGGGCTGAAGTCAGCTCAAGAACTGGCTGGAAACATAAATGGCTGCGGTCCAAGCCAGTGGGACCCAATCACCCCTGGGGCAACAATGGCAGCTGTTCTAGAAGATGATCAGCAGAGTGATTTCATTTTTTAAATGACATTTATCCAGCAGTACCCTGGGCCAGGTGCTGGGTTAGGCACTTTGTGGTCTCTCCTGTGAGCCCCGCGACAGTACCGGAGGCAGGCATTATGAATCCCATCTCACCAGGGAGCAGACAGGCAGCGGGGAAAGTTCTGGAACCCGGGCCTTTGATGTCCACACTAGCCTGGCTCTGCACCTCTTGGATTCCTCCTGCTTATAGGACGGGTTCTCGTTTCCTAAGGGTGTGAAGAGCCTGCAGCTCTGGGGCCTGCCGAGGAGGCCAGGGCCAGGGGAGCCCCCAAGTCCCCGGGTGGGGGTGCTCTGCCGCCTGGGGGGTGGGGCCGGCGCAGCTGGGGATGGACGGAGCGTCTCCGCCTACCTGCCTGGTTCGTGGTGATGTTGACCACGGCGGCCCGGCGGGGCTCGGGGCTCAGGTCAGACACGCCGTTGACAGCCTCGATCCAGAAGGAGTAGTTCATGTGGGCCAGCAGGTTGGCGACCAGCAGGCTGGCCTGCGCCAGGCTCGTCTGCTGCGGCACGAAGCGGGTGCCGCCCCCGCACTTCTCACAGTGGCCCAGCGCCCAGGGGCAGCGGCGGCACACGGCGTTGTAGGTGATGTCACTGCGGCCGCCCGGGTCCAGGGGAGGCGCCCACTCCAGGGTGACCGACGTCCCGTTCACGCTGGAGATCAGGTTCACCGGTGCCGAGGGCGGCCCTGCGGAGCCGAGAGATGTGGGGTGTCACCGGGGGATGCCTATTTGTGCTGGTCCAGGCTGCCCGCTCTCCCCATCAGCCCAGGGAAGGGCTGTGGCTCCCCATGATATTTAGGGTTCCCGAAGGATATGGTCATACCCAGTCCATCCTCGGGGAGCTCCCGAGGGCAGGTGCGGGCCCCAGTGTCAGTTCTCCCTTGCACGGGAGTCTGTGCTGCCCAGGGTTCTCCTCCAGAGGAGGGAGCGACTGCATCGCCCTCGGTGCTCAGAGCAGCTGCTGGGTGTGTACCCCGGCCACCTGTGCCCACTCTCCACCTCTGAACCCCGCTGCGGGGCAGAATGTGACCTGGCACTGAGCGTTGAGGTAGAGTGTAAGGGAGACCCTGGAGGCCCAGCAACCCCTTCCTCAGAAGAGGGGGGGCCCCAGAGGGGTGGCAGGAGGCCTCTGGGGGGGGTGAATGGGGGCTGAGGGGCCCAGGGGATGCAGACTTGAGCCTGGAGGGCTGGGGAGCTGTGGGGACCCCGGCCTCCACAGAATTCCAGGCCCCAGAATCCCAGAGAGGGCATCTTACTTCAGAAATCAGAACTGGAGACTCAGACCCAGAGAGCCTCAGAATCTGCAGGGATGAAATGCCAAAAGCTAGCCTCGATAGTTTAGGCTCCTAGGACCTCATGGCACTGCCCTGTGGGGTTGGCAAGAAGCCAGAGGCTGGACAGCGAATGCAAGTGTCAGTGACCCAGAGCTCAGGCTCAGGCTCGCTGGGCCTGAGGAGCCACAGCCGCTGCGTGTCCCTCAGCCGTCCCTTCAGCCCACGGCTCACGTGGGGCAAACGCAGGTCAGGGCAGAAGAGTGGAGGGCGTATGTGTGAGTGTGTGCGTGTGATGGATGCAGGTGTGTGTGCTGTGTGCATTGTGGGGGCCTACAACCGCACCTGGGCCCTCACCTGACACATGCAGGGAGCCCAGGCTGGGCGGTGAGGGAGGTTGCAGGAGGAAGGGGGGGCGGAGGCTGGGGTACGTTCCGGGCAAAGCCAGCCTGCACTGTGGGAAGTCCCCTCACCCCGCCTCAGGAGCCAGTGCTGGTGAGTGGGGTGGGCTGGGCTGGCCCTCCCCAGCAGGCACAGGAGCATAAGGCCTCCTCTGGCCAGGCAAGAGGGGGAAGCAGAGGAGCCGAGTCAGCAGAACGCCGGCCAGTCACGCAGCCCTGCAGGCACAGCGAGTCCCTGGGAGTCCCCGCAGGTACGTGCCTGTCGCCACACCCTGCAGCCACACGCCTCCCTGCAGGGCCGGGGCACCGTGCTGCGCTCCCAGGGCTCACGGGCCCCCGCTCTATGGCCGCAGGAAGCCCCCAGGTGCCCAGGTGCCCACGCATGTGCAGAAGCACACATGGACGTGGGCACCTGCCCTGGCACACTCAGGCACACAAACACCTGCAGGAGCCGCTGACAGCAGGACACACGGTCCCACCTCGTGCAGGCCACGCACGGGCTCAGACACGCGCTCCCGCCTACAGCCACGTGCATTCGGGGAGCTGCGCCAGCAAGCTCGTCGAGGAAGACAGTGATGGGGCCCTCGTCTGACACCCCCTCGCCTGACAGGCGGCCCCTCCCTGGACTTGCCCACCCCAGTGCCCAGGACACTGGCATCACTGCGGGTCAGGAGGCGACAGGAGCCACCCAGTCCTGCTTCCTCTCTCCGGAGCAGAGAGCAAAGACAAGGATGAGAGCAGCGGAGAATATCCCTGGAGAGGTGACAGGAGGCCAGGAACCCAGAGGCAGAGTCGACCCCAGTCCAGACCGGCCGCTGACTCCCAAGAACCGCCTGTCCTGCCTCACCCCCAGAGAACTGGCTCCTTGGGGCCAGTGGCACGAAGGTTGGGTCCTGGCCCAGTCTTGGCATCGGGGTGCAGGGATCTGGGGGTGGTACTCACGGGTGCAGGCAGCAGACGGTGGGTCCAGAGCCGCGCGGTAGTAGCTGAGGTCACAGCGGCAGGCCTGGGCAGCGGGCGTGGCAGAGTGGCTGTGGGGAGGGCAGCGGGCACAGAGCTGGTCCCCGGGGGCCGACTTGTAGAAGCCCAGCTCACAGGCTGTGGAGGAGAAGGCAGCTTCAGGTGAGGCGGTCGGGCAGGCCTTGGGGACAGCTTACTCTGACCCCAGGATGGACAGAGGTGCAGAATTTCAGCACCACCTGGTTCTTCCCTCACTGGCCCACGGAAGGATGGAAGCACAGCGAGGGCCTGACCCTGAGCCGAAGTTGCACAGTAAATCGGGAGCAGAGGTGAGTTTGACGCCTGAGTCCCAGCTTTCACCTAAATTCCTCTAAATCCCCCTCACTTTTCTTAATCACGGCCTGTCTTGAGCTTTAGATTCTGAGGCTCCTCATCTTTGAATGAGACATTAGCCCCAAGAGGCTAAGAATCCAAGGGGGGCCAAGTCCCCGGAGACATGACTTCCCAGGGATGTCAAAGCCAGACAGGGGGTGAGGGTGGGTGGAAGGTGATCGGAAAAGGAAGTCCCACACTGGCAGATGGGGGCACCCCTGTAAAAACACAACTTCCTCGGCCCCCGACCGCCACCCAGTTGAAATTGCTGGGGACAAGCTCCCAGGAATTGCAGCCCCACTTCCCCGCCCCTCAGACCCTACGGCCCTCACCCAGGCTGGGACGGACTGGTACTGACCCCCTCTCCAGCCTCTGACTGCTTCTCTCACCCGGATGCCTGCGCAGCCTGTTCAGGCCGGTACTGATGAGCGCCGATGGTGCGCAGCACTGTGCTGGGTGCTAGAGACACAGCTGAGAACAAGACCACGGGGCCTCTGGCCTCCCGGGCTGCACCCACAGTGACGACGCCATCATTTCCAGGGAGGAAATGGAGAGGGTGGCGCAGGGCAAGTGGCAGGAAGTGTTACCTTCCCCGTAAAGGAGGGGACATTTGGGCTGTGGCCCAAAGGGCAAGAACAAGTCAGCCATGCCGGGGCTGGGGGCACCCTGGGTTAGGGACCCCCTAAATGCCCCTGACTTTGTCACGGCCAGATCCTCCCCTCACAGGCTCCCTGAGGCCGAAGCACTGAAGCCCGGCGTTCAGAGAGCTCCTTGCCTTACAGCTGCCCAGCTCCTGTGGACCTCTCCTCTCCCACCCTCACTCACAACCAGAGCACTCACTATTTCCATTGCAGGCTGTTTCTGGCCTCAGGGCCTTTGCACGTGCTATGCCTGCTTCCTTTGCCCACCGCCTGAACTCTCCCAAGATTCACTTTAATCGTCCCTTTGACGAAGCCTGTCTGGGCCTCGCCACACTTCCACATGCACACACAGATACACCACAGCGGCCACACCCGTCCCCACTTCTGCAGTCCTGACTCAGTCTCGGGACCGTGTGAACCCCAAAGCTGGACACACCAGCCCTGTCTCTTTCTCCTGCCCGCGGGGCCTGAGGCAGGCCCGATAAGCGTGGCCTGAGCTTCCTCCTGGGGGCTGGCCCAGGGCAGACGGCAACGCTTGTGGGAATCTTCAAATTGAGCTAGTGCCACTAGTGTCTGCTCTGAGCAGAGAGGCCCCAGGGGTTCAGGAGGGCCAGGCCAGCCAACCTGGCTGCACCCAGCTGTACCCACGAAAAGACCAGCCTTTCAGGAAGGAGCAGCAGGCAGCTCCCTGGCTCTCTACCTGTAAACCCCACGCTGGGAGAGAGAAGCTTCACTGGATGTTAATCATGTCTATTTACTATAACAGCTAAAACCAGGTTCATTTTTATACTTCTGTAAACTTGAGAGAAATCTGAAATCCGGACAAACCATAATGCCCTAACGTTGCTTCAAAAGCACAGAGGCGGTGGAAGGGCTTTTCAGCTGGGGGCCGAGGACATCTTTCCCAGTTTGAGGCATCTTCTCCCCTCATGAGGGTGAAAGGGCCCTGAGGCCAAGGGCTGGGAGCTCGGGTTTCCCCTTCTGGAAGCCTCCGCTCCCCTGGGAGGCCGGTCCTGGGTGCAGCCCCAGAGCTGCCGCCTGAGAGGTAGGGCTCTGCCTGCCATCGGCCGGTCTGTCGTCCCTGCAGCTGAACTGGGTGACAGCAGACCCTGCGCCCATGAGCATCTCGGTTGCTGTGGGCCTGCTCTGTCCCTCTCCTCCTCTGCATTTACGGAGCTTCTACGACAGGCCTGGACCCAGACAGAGATAAGGCAGAGCTGGGCTTACTCTCAAGGAGCTCCCAGAGCAGCGTGGGCAAGTGGCCGGAGCCGTGGGCCTGGGGGTGGTGGGGCTGGGCTCACACCACCGCTTTCGCTCCTGGACGCTGGCCCCTCCCAGGATCCCAGGTCCTTCGCCGTGCTCCTTTTCCCATCTAACCCCTTCACCTAGGCTGAGTCACACTGGCCAAGGCCTTCATCGCTGTCTGGTGCAGGTAACGCCAGCAGCCACGTCCAGGCACGCTGCAAGGGCTGCAGGGGATGTGCGTTGAGCACCTTGTGGCCAGCCAGCGTCCGTGCATCTGTCTGACAGAAAGGAAGGGCCCCGGAGCGCGTGGGTCTTGCCCTGGTTCCCCGCCAAGCCAGGTGCACGCTCAGGTCGGGGGGCCTCGGAAAGGGACTCCCCACCAGCTTCTCCACGCCGCCCGGGGCTCAGAGGCGGCTCTGCCATCCTGCCACTCGCCGGTGGGCACTTCTCCCGCGCTCCGCTAATACCCATATGTCTGTAGCGTGTCAAGGCCAGATTAATCCGAGCAATGAAAATAAAATAATCTTTAATAAGAATACTAATCACCAGGCCTCAGGGAGTCCCAAGACCTGGAGGCAGAACGGGGAATTAATGGTGGAGACAGATGGAGCAGCGCTGGGCCGGGTCCCGGCCCTTCCTGCCGACCCGGGCGCTTCCGGAGTCTGCGGGCGCCCGGGGGCGGGCGGCGGGCCAGGAGGGGCCCCTGCCCTGAGAGGGCACCTTGCCCAGGCCGCCTGTCAGGCCGGCAGCTGCCAGAGGCCCAGGCCACCTCGCTCCTCCCCCCTGCAACGAGCTTGAGATTTGACAAATAAGGTGTCCGCCGGCGGACGACCAAAGGAAATTAATTCTAAATCAGATTTTAAACACAGTCAGGAAGGCAAAAGAGCTCCTCGTTCACACGCCCCTCTGAAATGAGACTCTGGTATTTATAGAAAGATGATTAGGGCCTTGGAGGGTGATTTATATTCTGTGTCCAGGTGACAGGAAGGACGGGAACCTGGATTTCAGGATGTGGCTGCCCCAGTGGGCCCTGTGGTGAGGAGTCCCGCCCTTCTGGAGGGAGGGGTGTGCTGGGGTGGGGGGCCCCACCCCTGAGCCAGGAGCTGTGAGGCAGGGCGCTTCCTGGCAGGGAGGCTGGGAGAGCTGGGGTTCCTGAGGCTCCCAGCTGTGTGCCCCACAGCGAGTGGCCTCTTGTGACTTCAGAGCTTCTGGAGAGACTGGGCGGGCTCGCAGGTGTGCGGCCTAGTGCCGGCTCAGTTGGCCCCTCCAGGGCTATGAGTGGCCATGGGACCAGGGAGGTCCCTTCTATTCTTGGGCATAGTCATCTTCGTCTGCAAAATCGAGGAAAGCTGTGAGGTGAGAACCTGAGGTGGGAGCGGCTGTCACGGGGACCCCTTGCGTCCCCAGGTAGGGAGCAGAAGGCGCCGGCAGGCCTGCACCAGGTGGGCCGGGCAGAGGGAGCGGAGCCTTGAGAGGACGCCGAGGAGCCCAGGCCAGGTGCTCCCCGCTCTGTTCCCGGCTTGGCCCGTTCTCCCCGCTCACAGGCTCTCTGCCCAGGAGCGGGTGTGGTGGGGGTCACTGGCAGGTCCGCCCCCAGGGCCTCACTTTGGGACCTGCGCCTTCTTACCGAAGAAGGTGACACAGATGGTCACAGAGGCCCACCGGCCGGGCTCCTCACGCAACTTAAAACTGGCAATTTGTCCCCAAACGTCCCTGCCTGCAATACACTAAGAATTAATATTTTTTATAAAACCTGTAATTATCTTGCAACTGGCATAATTATGCTGTATTGTGATTTAAATGTAGAATTCAAAGTAGGCTGCCGTTCCCAAACTCTGCTTTGGCATTTCTTTATTACTTTTTGTGAACGGGCCATCGGTACCAGGAAATGGGTGTGGTCTTGGCCTCTCCCACCCAGGAAAGGGCTTGCTCCTGGAGATTTTCACAAGACATCCTCTGGGGGCCCCTCCTCCCACCCCTGCTGCTGCAGTTCCCCAGATCTCTTTGCAAGACCCCGACCCAAAGGTCAGGCGCACCCGTCTCTGGCCGACCCTCGAGTGTCTCCCCCACGCACACTGGGTAGGCACGGCTGGCAGTCGCCGGCCAAGCCCAGCGCAGGGGCAGCTGCTGACCCTTGACAGGTGTGCCCTGCCGGGGGCCTGCTCGCTAGAGCTGCATCGTACCTGTCACTAGCTGCACTGTACCCCGGGACCGGGGATGGGGTGGCAGTGCAGGGTTCTGGGCTGAGACACCTGGAACCAGGTCCCCATGCTGCAGCTTTGCTTGAGGGGACCTCAACTTTTCCACTCTGTGAGATGGGGATAAGATGCTCAGCTCAGAGGACTGTCTTAAGTGGGAGGAGATGTGAACCCCCAAAGGAGGACTCCTGAGCCCATGCCCCAGACCCTGGGCGCAGCAGAGGCTTGACAGAGTCACTGACCTAACACACACATGAGGAGCAACAGGCAAAGCCTGGCACGCGACAGACACTCGAAAAATTATGACTAAGGGGCTGAGTAGCCCCCTCGGAATGAGGGGGTGTAGGAGGAGAACTCTGGTGGGGAGTGTAGTCGAGCTAGGCCAGGGGTGGGTTAAGAGCAACACCAGCCATGAGAGCGAAGCAACATTACTTCTTAAGCCTCAGTTTCCCCATCCGTATGATGGAACTACCTGCCTTGCTACGTAGGACGAGCAAATGAGTTGACGGGTGAGGAATCCCCTTGCAGGGTGTAAGGCAACAGGGATCTCTGCGATTATATTCCAGCGGGGGGAAGTTGAAAAGTAGAGGGGTGTCTGTAATAGGAGCCCGGAGAGGCTGGTGCCCTAGGGAGGCTGGCAAACGAGGCCATAGGAGACGCAACAAAAGCAGAAACAGGAAAATCTCACAGAAGTTGCGTTGGAGTTTTGGGTCCAGGAGAGGTGAAGACGCATCGCAGTTGTGGGTGTGGAGAACCGTGTGTGGGACAGTGCTGTCCCGCCAGCCTGCGCCTGCTCGGTCCCCGCACACGGAGGCAGGGCCACAGGGTGGTGTGAAGTCGCCCCCTGCCGTACCGATGAGCGCTTGGAGGCCCCGTCCCTGTTCCTACAGGGGCTGCCTGGGGACAGACCTGAGCCCCTCTGATCCCCGAGCAGGGACACTGCCTCCCCCGGCGGCACTATGGCATCAGCAGCGGCCTCCTGGGCGCTGGGGTCTGAGCTGCCCACCCCCGGGGAACTCCAGGAGGGGCAGAGGAAATGGCCAAGACTGGCAGCAATGGGCAGCCTGCTCTCCTGTGTCCCCTGCTCGCAGGGTCCCGGCAACATGGCCTGAGCGAGGGTCTGCTGACTCAGGCGACGCGGGCCTGCTCCCGTTCTCGGGGGTGTGGACCCCCGCCGTGCATCCATGAGAACAAGCTCATGCTAATTCATGACCCAGCTGATGTCAGCCATACTTCAGAAGGACCCCGCCTGTCCTCGCCTGCAGCCCCCGAGGTGAGGTCCCCTGAACACAGGCAGGCTGCTTCAGGGGCTCCAACCCAGACCTTCGTGGCCTGGCCTGCACTCACCACCCGGGGCCGAGGGTCCACTCCCTCCACCCCTCAGGGAGGTTTACTGGTTTTGAGCATGGACTCCGGGCCAGACATCTGGGCACACATCACTGCTGTGCTATCTCCTAGCTGTGTGACCTTGGGCAAGTGGCTTTGCCTCTCTGTGCCTCAGTCAGCTCATCTATAAAACCAATGTAAGAGTAGTTTCTATCTCCTAGAGCAGCTGTGAGATCAAATTCACGTGCACAAAGTGCTTAGAACAACGAACGCTGCTAGCACAGCGCTGGGGCCAGCAGCCCGCCCTGGCCTATCCCTCCCCACACAGCGGCCGCCACAGCCCGCCCTGGCCTGTCCCTCCCCACACAGTGGCCGCCCCAGGCTGTCCCTCCCCACACAGCCCGCCCCGGGCTGTCCCTCCCCGCACAGCCCGCCCTGGGCTGTCCCTCCCCGCACAGCGGCCGCCACATCCCGCCCTGGGCTGTCCCTCCCCGCACAGCGGCCGCCACATCCCGCCCTGGGCTGTCCCTCCCCGCACAGCGGCCGCCACATCCCGCCCCGGGCTGTCCCTCCCCGCACAGCGGCCGCCACAGCCCACCCCGGGCTGTCCCTCCCTGCACAGCCTGCCCCGGACTGTCCCTCCCTGCACAGCCCGCCCTGGGCTGTCCCTCCCCGCACAGCCCGCCCTGGGCTGTCCCTCCCCGCACAGTGGCCGCCACAGCCCACCCCGGGCTGTCCCTCCCCGCACAGCCCGCCCCGGGCTGTCCCTCCCTGCACAGCCCGCCCTGGGCTGTCCCTCCCCGCACAGCGGCCGCCACAGCCCGCCCCGGGCTGTCCCTCCCCACACAGCGGCCATCACAGCCCACCCCGGGCTGTCCCTCCCCGCACAGCCCGCCCTGGCCTGTCCCTCCCCACACAGTGGCCGCCACA